GTTCTCACAACCCTACAAGGTCCTTACTAGGATTGTTTCCATTTCACAGATGAGGTGACTGAGGCCCAGGGAGGTTGCTCAAGGTCACGCAGCAAGTGCAGTAAAAGTGGCTCAGTCGTGTCTGACTCTATATAGTCCATGGAATTCTCCAGGCCAGAATACTGGAGTGAGTAGCCATTTCCTTTCCCAAGGAATCTTCCCAACCAGGGATCGAATCCAGGTCTCCCACGTTGTGGGCAAATTCTTTACTAGCTGAGCCACCAGGCAAACACCTTGCCAAACTGGGCTTTAAACTTATGCCTGAAGGAGAGCTGAGGTTTCACGCTTAACCGCTGTGTCCTGTTCTTAATTTCCTTCTCAAAATGTGGAGGGAAATCTTGGTTGGGTTGGGGCATGCAGAAACAGGGCCCATATCTGCCTGTATCTCAGTAAAGATCTGCTATTTCCCAGTAGACGAAGGCTCCAGTTACCCTGTGGGTGTGACCCACCACTTTGTCTGCTGTGTAAATTCCCTGGTGGGGGCTAAGGGGGAGGTCAGGTGCCCCTTTGAATGCCCAGCTTGGTGCCGTCCTGGCTCAGACTTAGGGGACAGAGTTGGGCCAGGCAGGAAGGGGCAGGGGGGGTTTCCTTAGGGTGGGTCGGTTTGGCTCTTGTGCTGGAAGCCAGCCTGAAAAGGAATTTCCCAGTCATGTCTTAATTCTGTCTTCCTTGCAGAGTAAGCACCGCATTGAAAGATGGGCTGGGCTCTTCACTTCCCCAGAAAACAGTTGTGCAAGGAGGAAGAGGAGACGTGGGGTACCTTCCTTTGGGGGAGGAAGCAACGCTAGCTATCTCATAAGGTTTCAGGGTCTGATTCTTCTCTCCTAGGAAGAGAGCATACCTCAACAACTCCAGAGCTGATTAGTGCCCAGGGAGGAAATCTTGGCTTGGCTGGGTGATCACCAGCTGTTTATCCAGAGTTGTGTAATAGAAATACAATGAGTCAATATGTGAAATTGTAAATGTTCCAGCACATTTTTTTAAAAAAGTAAAGAGAAACAAGAGAAATTAATTTTAATAACAATTTTATTTAACCCAACATATCCAAAGTTATAATGGCAACCCACTCCAATATTCTTGCCTGGGAAATCCCATGGACAGAGGAGCCTTGTGGGCTACAGTCCATGGGATTGAAAGGGTTGGACATGACTAAAGAGACTAAACATTAATCAACAACGTGTCACCAATAGGAATTCACATTGTTGGTATTATATCTTTGAAATCTAGTGTGTATTTTATTCTTACAGCACAAATAAGGTGAACTACATATCAAGTGCTCAGTAGCCACATGTGGTCAGTGGTTACTGTGCTGGACACAGCAGCTTTACACCATGGATTCTGGATGCAAAGACCTGGAATTCTCAGAATTTCTACATCTTAAGATTGTGTTTGGAAGGACTTCAAGGTCATCTGGTCAAACCCCTCATACATAAGGAAATGACTTTCCTCAAGGTGACCCGCTGCTCCCGGCAAAGCTGAAGTCCACACCCACGTGTCTGTGTCACAGTGTTGGATAACTCCCCTACTCCAGCAGGGAATAGGAGATGGAGATGGAGATGGCTTGCTGATGAAATCCATAAAGGTGTAAAATCGGAGCAAGAGGTGAAGCTGGAAGACCCCAGAAAGAGGTAGACCTCCTCTCCTCTGACACGTTCTCACATTCTGGAGGGAATAGGCACAAAGTGGGCAGGAATTCCTTTGATGATCCCTCAATACTGAACATAGACTCAGGCCCACACCCTTGCTTCTGACTCTTCTCTTATTTCATATCTCCTGCTGCCTACATTGAGTTAGACCCTCTGCCTGCTAGCAGATTAAAAACAGGTCATGGGACTATAAACTGGTGCAGCCACTATGGAAAACAGTATGGAGGTCCCTCAAAAATATACATAGAGTTGCTGTATGATCTAGCAATCTCACTCCTGGGCATAAACCTGGACAAAACTATAGTTCAAAAAGATACATGTACCCCTATGCTCACAAAAGCACTCCTCACAATAGCCAAGACATGGAAAAAACCTAAATGCCCATTGACAGGTGAATGGATAAAGAAGATATGGTATATACATGCAGTGCAATACCACTCAGCAATAAAAAAAGAATGAAAGACGCCATTTGCAATATAATGGATACACCTAAAGATTATCATGTGAAGTGAAGTAGGTCAGAAAGAGAAAGACAAACACTATGTGTTATCATTTATATGTGAAATCTAAGATATGACACAAATGGATTTATCAGTGAAATAGAAACAGACTCACAGACATAAAGTACAAGCTTGTGGTGGCCAAGGGGGAATGGGGTGCGGAGGCATGAACTGGGAGCTTGGGATTAGCAGATGCAAACTATTATATATAGAATGAATAAACAACAAGGTCCTACTGTATAATAGAGGGAACTATATTCAATATCTTATAATAAACCATAATGGAAAAGAATATGAAAAAGAATATATATGTATATATTCCTTTGCTGTATAGCAAAAAATTAACACAGCATTGTAAATCAACTATACTTCAGTAAAATAAATAAAAACAAAGACAAGTCAGACTTCCTTGGGGAAAGAGTAGTTAACTCTACTTGGGGCAATCGGGGCAGGCTTCCTACTGGATAGAGACACAGACAGAGGAGCCTCAGAACTCAGTATTGAGTGGGGATGGTGGGAGCCAGGGGATGACGGGAAAGGGCTTCCAGGCAGAGAGATACTGTGGGAGAGAGGGAAGGTGTTAGGAAGCCGGTCTCCTGTTTTCTCAGGGGCGATGGCTGCTGTTGTTCTTTCTCTTCCCTTCACCTGGGGTCCTAGGAAATGCCAGGGCTTCCCAGGAAAGAAGGGAGACTCCATTTTTTATGTCAGCCCCACTCATGGTCCTAAGAAGACCAGGACATGGTGGGTTCCCAGTGAATGGAGGTGAAAGAGGGAAGTGGCTGAAAAGGACCTTAGGTTGAATCCAGACCAGCTGGACCAGGGAGTCCAGGGACGAATAGAGGAGACAGGAAGGGAACTGGTGTGTCCTGAGCACTTCATCATCAGAGTCTCATTCACAACACCAGTGGAAGCGGGTAGACTATATTTCCCCTCTGCTAGGTGAGGACAATGAGGCTCAGAGAGACCCAGCAACTTGCTGGGGTTAAGACCCATTCTGTCTGCTTCAAGGTCAATCTCTCTAGGTTCTTTCTGGCACTTCCTCACCTGGCTACTGCCAAGAACCCAGCAGTGACCACATTCTTGGCAGGCACCCCCACCTTTGGGGAGGCCTGCTTTACTGGGAGTTTCTGGTGGCATAGAGGGTTCCTAGAAAAGCTTCTAGTAACAGTCACCACACACACTGGGCTTGGAGATACCCTGTCACTCCCATCCCCCACCCTCAGATGAGGATGGGAAGCAACTTGGAGAGGTAGAGTGGCTTGTTCAATGTTGTAAAGCGAGGGGGCAGGTAGAGAGAGGTGGGACTGATCACCCCTGCCCCTGGGCGCTGACTCACAGCAGGTGCTGTGGGAAAGCCACTGCCAGTCTGTTAGCCTCAGCTTTCCCAGCCAGGCAATGGGTAGGATTGCTTTGGCATATCTGCCTGGGCCTAGAGCCAGGGGACTGGGAAAAAGCTGAGCACAGCACATCAGCAGGGCGCGTCGTCCTTGCCCTGTTCCAGTGCCAACAGCTCCCATGGGGCATCCCTTCCCACGGGCAGAAGCCTTTCCAGTTCTCAGAGGAGTCACACCAGGCTCTGATGTGGCTCAAATCCCCAGCACCCAGCACAGGCAGGGAGACCAACTGTCCTGGTTTGCCCAGGATTATCTCAGTGTAGCACTCTGAGTTCTGCAGCCCAGGTACCCGTCAGCCCTGGGCAAGTGGCACAGTTGATCACTGTAGCGGTGGGACCAAGGTGGCAATTGGCATTCAAGAAGTGTTCTAAGTGAATGAACACAGTCAATGGACTTCAGAACAGCGCATGAGCAGCAGTGCTGGGAGGGAGGCAGGTTGGGGACTGCTGTGCCCATTTTATAGATGAGGAACTGAGGTTCAGAGAGTTTAAATGTTCAGGTTGTTTGTATCTATCTCATGTCCTTTCCTCAGCATCAAGTCCCCTCTAAACGGTTCCCTGAGTATTTTGCGCTGGTCCATGGGGTGGGAGGCAGCTGGGCACTGAGACTTTGCCCATCCTACACGTGAGGTTGGAAGGGGTAGGGGGAGAAGGATTGCTCTATTCCAGCTCCGCAGTGGAGAGCTGTGGTGTCCCCGACGGGTTTGGTGGGTTCGAACCTCACTTCAGCCACTTCAGCGGTGTGGCCTTAAGCAAGTTACTTACTCTCTCCGCTTCAGTTTCTTCATCTGTAACATGGGGATGAAATATGTACACTTGTGGGATTTCACGCGACCAATGCAGCAGGCCCTTGTTTGATCCCCGGTCAGGGAACTAAGATCCCACATGCTGCAGCTAAGAGTTTGCATGATGCAACCAGTATTAAAAAAGAAAAGAAAAAGGAAATATGAATATTCAGTGTCTGAGGTTGCTGCAAGGATTAAATGAGATAACGCACAAAAAGCACTTCGCACAGGGCCAAACGTGTGAGACTCCTATTTCTGTGTGACCTCTGCAAATCCCACCATCTCTGAGCCTACTTCTGTGTGTCTGTAAAATGGAGCTTCACCCCATTCTGCGTGTTTGTGAGGACTAAGTGAGCTGATGCGTATTTGAGATGGTGAAGCACAGAATGAATTTTTAGTAAAGGAGTTGTCCCCTTCCTCCCCATGCCCACGTTAGCCCTTAGAACCATCTTGTGAGACACACTTTAAGTGAGTGAAGTGAAAGTCGCTCAGTCCTTTCTGACTCTTTGCGACCCCATGGACTGTCCATGGAATTCTCTAGGCCAAAATACTGGGGTGGGTAGACTTTCCCCTCTCCAGGGGACTCCCCAACCCAGGAAATGAACCCAGGTCTGCCATATTGTAGGCGGATTCTTTATTATTCTCGTTTTACCGAAAAGGCAGCCACAGACGCCGCGAACGTCTGTTTGGTAAGTGAATGAATGAGTGGCGAATGGGTGAGTGAATGAAAGAATGGGTAAATGCCGCGTGGGAACCCGCCCGAGAGCTTGGCCCCTCGGCTTTCCCAGCCAATCGAGGTCCCCGCTTCGCCACTCCCCGCCCAGGTGTGGGGATGCGGAACACTGGGCGGGGGGCGCTTGGAGAGCGCACTTGAAAGGAGCCGCGAGCTCGCCCAGCGCGGCCCAGTAATTAGCCGCGCTAGAGCGGCGAGCCGGCCAGGCTTATCGGTCATCACTGCCTCTGAGGCGGGCGGCTGGACGGGCTCCCCACGCCGCAGCCGCCGCCCCGGGCGGAGGGCACGGCGGTTCCCACGCTCGGGCCCGGGCCGGGGGCGTTCTTGGGATGGCGTGGCCGCGCTCGCCACCGCCGCGGAGGCCAGGCTGTAATTAGGGTAATTGCGCGGCTCCCCGCCCGCGGTTGCTTGGGACCCCAGGTCGACAGGGAGGAGAGGGGAGGGGGGGCGCCCCAGCCCCTGGGGGAGGGGGGGGCGCCCCAGCCCCTGGCGCGGCTCATTCCTCCAGACAAGTGACTCAGCACTCGTGGGCTGCCCAGGCAGAGGAGAAGGGGCTCCTGGAGTCGGCTTTGCGGGGAAAGGAGGGACTGGAAGAGGACTAGCCCTGAAGAGCACCTACTGGATGCGGGTGGTGGGCTAGGCGGTTCCGTTCCTGCGCACCTTTCAGGAGCCATTGAGGACATCTGGACTGCCGGTGGTACCCGGCCCAGAGAAGATGCTCATAGCGCAGTATCCTAACCCGCTCAGCAGTTTAATAGGTAGGCACTCGGAGATCAAGAGGGTTAAGTGACTGTGCCCAATATTACACAGCCCGTGCATTCATGTTTCAGGGAGCAGGAAAATGAAGACCTCATGCCCAGCAAGTGATTTTGCTTCCTCCAGTACTTCGAGATTTACTTATGATCAACCTAGACAGCATATTAAAAAACAGAGACATTACTTTGCCAACAAAAGTCTGTCTAGTCAAAACTATGGTTTTTCTGGTAGTCAGGTATGGATGTGAGAGTTGGACTATAAAGAAAGCTGAGCGCTGAACATTTGATGCTTTTGAACTGAGGTGTTGGAGAAGACTCTTGAGAGTCCCTTGGACTGCAAGGAGATCCAACCAGTCCATCCTAAAGGAAATCAGTCCTGAATATTCATTGGAAGGACTGATGCTGAAGCAGAAACTCCAATACTTTGGCCACCTGATGCAAAGAACTGACTCATTTGAAAAGACCCTGATGCTGGGAAAGATTGAAGGCAGAAGAAGGGGATGGCAGAGGATGAGATGGTTGGATGGTATCACTGACTCAATGGACATATGTCTGAGTAAACTCCAGGAGTTGGTGATGGACAGGGAGGCCTGGTGTGCTGCAGTCCATGGGGTCCCAAAGAGTCGGACATGACTAAGTGATTGAACTGAACTGAACTGAACTGAATCTCAATCCTGAAATCATCCTTGAGTTTTAGGTTCTTGGTAGGCCTGATCATAACCAGTTCCTTACCACTAATACAAATCACAGGGAACCCTTCTGGAAAAACAGTTAAAAAGAAATAATCCGATTTCAAACTCACTCTCTAATCCTAAAACCAACCCAAACTTTAACCCTCCTCTACACTTAATTCCCAGATTAATCTTGACCTTGGCTCTTGCCCATGCCTTCAACCTTCTCTCCCAACTAACCCCCATCAACCCTCCAATCCCCTTCCTCAGGTACCCTACCTCTGGAAGATCTGCTGAAGATCTCTAGCAGCTACTTCAAGCCTCTGGACCTTTGCACAGGCTGCAGCATCAGGAAGGGATATCCTTTTCCCAGGGCCACAAGGTAGACTTTTCTCCCCTTTTAAGGTTCACTGCAAGTACTTTGAGTGTTACCTTGTCCCCTGACCAGGTTCTTCATGGTCTCCAAGCTCTTAGAGGGTAGGTTCTGTGTCTGCTGGGAGTAGAAATTGAAAGTTATTGTTGTTGTTCAGTCACTAAGTTGTGTCTGACTCTTTGCAACCCATGGACTGCAGCATGCCAGGCTTCCCTGTCCTTCACCATCTCCCGGAGTTTGCTCAGATTTATGTCCATTGCATCGGTGATGATATCTAGCCATCTCATCCTCTGCTACCCCTTCTCCTTTTCCCTTCTATATTTTCCAGCTTTTCCAATAAGTCAGTTCTTCTCTTCAAGGCTCTTTTCCGTTGAGTCAGCTCTTTGCATCAAGTGGCCAAAGTACTGGAGCAGAGAATGGCAAACCACTCCAGTATTCTTGCCACAAGAACCCCATGAACAGTGTGATAAGAAATTGGAAGTAGAACCAATTAATTGCTTGTGACTAAGTGAGTGAATGGATGAATGAGAGAATGAGGGAGTAAATGAGTGAGTGAATAAGTGAATGAATTATTGAATAAGCAAGTGAAGCTTGTTTCTGAGCTTAAATCCTTTATGCTCTCCCTAGCTTTGGATTCCTCCCCAAGTAGGGAACAATTGAAAGACAAAAGGACCCTGTACCCCCCATTCCCGGGGGTACCCTTAGATTGTTAATTCTGTGTGTCTGTGACATATGTGTATGCATTTGAGCCTAGGACTTGGAATCAGACAAGCCTGGAGGCCATTCCTGGCCAGTGTTTTCCAGTTGAGTGACTTGCAAAAGTAACTTCTTTCCTCTGGGCCTCTGTCTGGTGATCTAAAACATAGTAATGATAATAAACAGACTGGTTTCATATTGGGAAAGGACTATGTCAAGCCTATATATTGTCGCCCTGCTTATTTAACTTATATGCAGAATATATCACACAAAATGCTGCGCTGGATGAAGCACAAGATGGAATCAAGATTTCTGGGAGAAGTATCCATAATCTCAGGTATGCAGATGACACCACCCTTATGGCAGAAAGCGAAGAGGAACCAAAGAGCCTCTTGATGAAAGTGGAAGAAGAGAGTGAAAAAGCTGTCTTAAAACTCAACATTCAGAAAACTAAGATCATGGCATCTAGTCCCATCACTTCATGGCAAATAGATGGGGAAACAATGGAAACAGTGAGAGACTATATTCTTGGGCTCCAAAATCACTGCAGATGGTGACTGCAGCCATGAAATTCAAAGACACTTGCTCCTTGGAAGAAAAGCTATGAAAAACCTAGACAGCATATTAAAAAGCAGAGACATTACTTTGCCAACAAAGGTCCGGATAGTTAAAGCTATGATTTTTCCAGTAGTCATGTACGGATGTGAGAAAGCCAAGAGCCGAAGAATTGATGCTTTTGAACTGTGGTGTTGGAGAAGACTCTTGAGAGTCCCTTGGACTGCAAGGAGATCAAACCAGTCAATCCTAAAGGAGATCAACCCTGAATACTTATTCAAAAGACTGATGCTGAAGCTGAAGCTCCAATACGTTGGCCACCTGATGCAAAGAGCCAACTCATTGGAGAAGACCCTGATGCTGGGAAAGATTGAAGGCAAGAGGAGAAGGGGATGACAGAGAATGAGATGGTTGGATGGTATCATCAACTTGGTGGATATTTGAGCAAGCTCCAGGAGTTGGTGATGGACAGGGAAGCCTGGCATGCTGCAGTCCATGGGGTCACAAAGAGTCAGATGTGACTGAACAACTGAACTGAATGATAATAAAATCCATCATGGGAAATTGTCCTCCTTCAAGCCTTTTGCCTGTAGCTCAGGCTAGTAGTTCAGTGTTCCAGGAATGGGGATGGAAGGAACAGGGCAGGGATATGTGTGTGCACTCATGTGGAAAGAACTGTCTTTCTTAAGGGCAAGGAACACTAGTGAGAGTAGGAAGCAGGGCTACAAGGAAGGGAGGCAGCCCCCTGGGTGGGGGGAGAGGCTTTGTAGAGGATGTGAGAACCGGTCAGAGGTTGTTGCTGAACAAGTCATGGCAGAGGCAGTTGCATGTTCAAAGACACCAGGCTGTGAACAAAGGGTTCCCTATTATTGCTGGAGGACGAAGTGGGAGGCGGGGGGTGGTGGCAGAAATTGGGGCTGGTGAAGGTTGCAGCGTCTGGGTAAGGAAAGGCCTTGAGGGACCTGTGGCTGTTGCACTTTTTCTTGTAGGCAGTAGGGAGCCATGGCAGCTTTGGGCAGGGAAGGATGGTCAGATCCAGGCTATAGAAAGATCACTCTGACCTGCAGTGTGGAGGAGGGCATGGAGGTAGCCCCAGTTGGGAAGCTAGTAGGGCAGTACAAGTGACATGAAATGATGTCTGTGATTAGCCAGGCTTTACCGAGTACCTACTACATGCCAGACACTGTTCTAAATGCTTGCATGTTTTAGCTCATTTCATCCCCACAGCAGCCATGCAAAGTAGGTGCTCCCATGACCTTCTAGAAATACCACCTATACATGGAAGTCTCCCACATGTCTGTCTCCAGTCTGCGAATCCCCTCTGTTGGATCTATATGTCGAACAGCCCATTAGCTTTGCTACGGATGTCTAATAGGAGTCTTAACTTCCATGTGTCAAAAAATGATCTTCCCAAATCTGCTCCTCTCTCTGTCCTTCCCATTTTGGGTGTGTGCTAAGTCACAAATCATGTCTGACTCTTTGAGACCCCTTGGACTCTAGCCCACCAGGCTCCTCTGTCCATGGGACTCTCCAGGCAAGAATACTAGAGTGGGTTGCCATGCCCTCCTCCAGGGGATCTTCTCAATCCAGGTATTGAACCTGTGTCTCTTATGTCTCTTGCATTGGTAGGCTTCCACTAGCGCCATCTGGGAAGCCCCCTCCCCATCTTGCTGCTGCTGCTGCTAAGTCGCTTCAGTCGTGTCCGACTCTGTGCGACCCCATAGACAGTGGCCCACCAGGCTCCCCTGTCCCTGGGATTCTCCAGGCAAGAACACTGGAGTGGGTTGCCATTTCCTTCTCCAATGCATGAAAGTGAAAAGTGAAAGTGAAGCCGCTCAGTCTCGACTGACTCCTAGCAACCCCATGGACGGTAACCTACCAGGCTCCTCCATCCATGGGACTTTCCAGGCAAGAGTACTGGAGCGGGTTGCCATTGCTTTCTCCGCTCCCCATCTTAGTAAATGGCAATTTCAGCTTTTCGGTTGTTCAGGCTAAAAACTTTGGAGTCTACCTGTCTGTCCCTGCCCCCAACCTGACTCCCACCCCTGGACTCCTTCCTCTCACTCTTCACATTCCATCTAGCTGCCAGTCTTGTCAAGCACATGTCTTCAGTCTGATGGCTTCTCACTTCCCTTCTGCTGCCCACTGGACTGGGCCCCACTCTTTCTTGCTTGGATTATAGTAATGGTCCCATTTCTATCTTTCTTTTAATTTTTTTTAAATAATGTGTTTTAGGAGGTTAGTTGGTTTGTTTGGGCCATGAGGCATGTGGGACCTTCATTCTCTGACCAGGGATTGAACCTACGCAGTGGAAGCATGGAGTCTTAACCACTGGACCACCAGGGAAGTCCAGTGGT